ATATACATGCACAGTGCGGTAACTGGAGTGCAGGTATCAGTTACCCGCACTCCAGATAATGCCCGTTAATTTGTTCATTTTTGCTGGGGTTTACTTATTGTGAGGGCAGAGAAAGGGAAAGGGGCAGAAATATAATATTCAAATGCTCGTTCATTGGTTCATTTTTTTTCTGGGGTTTCATATTATGACAACAGGGAACGTGCTGTCATGTTTGACTATGATACAAAAGAGAAAGAACACCAAAACACTCGGCAATCTGATTTATACCCGGGGGCTACGCCCCCTCGTAAAAATCAGATAGCCTCCTGTTTCGGTGCTCTTTCTATTACTTAACGTGGGTCATAGCGTCAATGGACAAACGCGATTTTTCCAATTCTCGAATACAATTATTATCAAAACATAAGCAGATCTACAATACTACCAATTATATAAAAACCAAAATATAGTTGCTTTATAACTTTGAATTTTTTTTTTCGTTCTCGTTTAAAGAAGCACCAAGTTATAAAGTTAAAGTGAATGTACTTTTGGCTTATATATATTTTTTGTAAATTGTTTTGTTTTACATTGAAATAAGAGAAAGTAGTTGAAATAAGATAATGTATTTCACTGTATTTCAATGTCTTTATTTCATTATACAGGTGATGTTGGAACATGTTGGGCGTTCAGGTAAAAAAATTAATTAAACAAATCTTTTGGTCATACAATGCACAAAATATTCAAATTTTGTCTGTTATGTCTGTTGTATAAGAGGACAACCACTGACTGTATACTTGTATTGCTGCAAGGAATATGTAAATACGGTAGTTCAATAAAGAGTACTTGGCGCTGAGTATAAGGTAGGAAATATCACGTAAACGTAAACACTGATGTAACTTTAATTTATTAAAAGCTATCAAAGACGGCGTTAAAACAAAGTATTTTCTTGCTCCAAATCATTTTTCCTGTGCTCAGAAACTTGAGACAAAGATACATATATATGTAATTGCAGTACGGTAGAGAATATTGAAGGACAGTGGATTCAGGCTGGTCAGCCGATGACGAATTTGTCCGTGGAGCAGGTTGTAGAGTGTGACAGTATAGCAGACACACCACGTAATAACACACATGCTGACTGTGGGATATTTGGGGGTTGGCCATATCTTGCATATCAGTACGTTATGAAAGCGGTAAGTTGAGCTGTTAGTCTTGCAATACTTCTGAGTATATCACACAATTTTGTGCGTTATCTCGTGTCGTAAAATCACACTAATCGATATTTATATCTCCACTTACTTGTTTGTTTGTTTGATTGGGTTTTATGTAACACCGACACAGTATAGGTCATATGGCGACGTTCCAGCTTTACTGGTGGGTGAAGACCTCGCATAATTTTAGGCACGAATGTGTACCTGATAGAACCACCGACGTTCCGTAAGCTAGCTGGATAGCTTCATCGCATGAAAGAATCCAAAGTCCCTGTCGGAATTCAAACTCATAGCGGTGAGGGGGGAGTGGTTTGAAGTCAACGAACTTAACCACTCGGTCAAGGACGCCCAACGTCTCCACTTAAAAAAATGTGAGCATAGTGTGATGGTGTTGGTCCTTACGTATTCGTCCGTCACTTATTTGACTGATCAATAGCTTGAGAAGGAATTAATCTTGGTTTATGTTACATGGTACGGACATTGCCAATGTTCAGTAGACGACCCCTGTTGACCTCAGTGTCAAAGATTAAGTTCGCCGTGCCCACTAAAATCGTGTCCGATCAATAATTAGGGAACGTTGTTTACCTATAGTACTTAAGTTTAGTATGTTGGTCATGACTAGTATATGACCCCTCTTAACTGTGAGGTGAGAAGTTAAGGTCATTGTGTAAATTCTTTATAAAGTCCTTGACCTATCAATCACGGAATTAAGCTATTTTTCACGTAGTAGGGAAATTGAACCATGACCAGTAGTGGACGCGTACAAAACTTAGCCTAATCAATAGTTTCATAAGTAATCGGCTTGTGAAACTTACTTGTTATGGTACAATCATTTTAGATATTTTATATTGATATATCATTCGATTTTTTTAAAAATAAAATTTTGTTTAAGTATGTAAACATGCCACTGTGACAGTTGAGGCATTATTTGTATGGGGTTTTGTTCTTTAGCTTGAATTTCTCAATATTTTTTACAACAAAATGAAGACATTAAAGTGTGTGCTGCACTTTACAAAGTCTGTATTATCCTATCTTTGTAATAATACACTGTTGCAGGGCAGCTAGAGTGATTATTTGTTGAATCATAAATATGATGTATGAAACTTCAGGGTGGGCTTCAAACCTGGGAAGACTACTGGTATTGTTGTGGTTTGGGAGGAGCACCGGGCACGTGTGATATATGTCCTGCTGCAGGATACAACTGGACCCGGTGTGGCCCACCTGTACCGTACTGTAACATGACGCAAAGCTGCGCTGTTAAAATAAACCCAAAGAAATTTGTACCCGGATTGAAAGTTGTCGATTGGAAAGCCGTAGATCCGGTATAAACATTTTATAATATAAATATAGGTTTAGGTAATGTTTTGGTGTCAAATTTAGATAGAGTCGGACATTATGTCTGGCATAATTTTGTGGACTTGCATTTTATCATTTAAGTCGTATTATTTTGATCACTTTAACGAGAGAAAATGTTCCAATTAAGAGTTTCTAGTAGAGAGAAAAGTAATTATTGAAACCACACTGTGTAAACATTACAGTACAGTGTCAACGTATGATGAATTCAAATATTTGAATAATTAGCAAACGTAGCTAATTAAAACGATATGGCAAGGTCGTGTATGTTATATGCAAATGCGCATTTTCACATGAAATATATTCCTACGCTGTTGTATTTTCACTTATGTAATATTAACAGTTACATTACAAAAGAAATTGTTGTATATGTTAAACATGTTTGAACATCTATTGTTTATGACGTTTACAACGGGACGTTATTCATGCCCTCGACTTTAAAAAAAAACTTCATTAGTACAGAACATGTGATAAATAGATTAATAAATCCCGTAGATTAAAATTATCCAACTAGTTTAATAAGTTCAATACGGTGACAACATTGATTATATTCCTCCACATGTCCACTCAGGTTAAAAATATGGAACGCCGTCGTCAACATAAATGTAAATGCATCCGAGCACTCGTCTAATTAATTTTCATGTCCACCATGACATCCCAGACTTACAATGTTGTCTATTGTTCCTATGAATAAAACAAAATTAAAATGTTAATTCCTTCTCTACTCTGTCATTAATTTCAGACACCAAAGATTAACATATTCCACCCTTTGTTGTAAAAATCCGCCAGTTTTAAACACTTAATGTATCCAAAACATCACATTCCACGAAAGACTCAAAAGTCACGTACTACTCCAACATACAAACTACTGTTAGAGTGTAAAATACCTTTATCTACATACATATCTGTTTTCATTTACGATGTTACATCGTTATTGGCAGCATTTTAAATATTTTGCTGAATGCAGAAAACTTGAGAAGAAAACAAAAATAATAATAACTTTTGGTGAAATTCCTTTTGAAACATTTAATTTCAGAACGAAACTACTATTGCAGAGCAGTTGATGAATATAGGACCATTGTCAGTGGCCCTTGACGCCACTCTGCTCCAGTTTTATCATAAAGGAGTGTTCGATCCAATTTTCTGCAGCAAAACAAACCTCGACCATGGTAAATAAATGATGTTTTTAGAGTATTGACCATCTTAAAACGGTAATCGTGAGCGCGCTAATTGGACATGATTATTTTAATTTTGTTATAAAAACCCTCAAACCTTAACAGAAATAAATATTTATTTTCCAGATTTATATTTACTTTAATGGATTCATTGGAAATGTTTATTTTCAAGTGTGCATTGAAATGAATATATATATCATTTTAAGTCTATGCAACAAAAAAAATCAACATTGATATGTATGAGGTTAAGATGAAATTATTGCATTTTTGTAGGCTTAAATATTTTTTTTTTCTAGCGGTTCTAATTGTTGGCTTTGGTAAAGAGAAGGATCTGTTTAGCACGAAACCCTACTGGAAGGTGAAAAACTCCTGGGGAGAGAAATGGGGAGAAGATGGCTACTTTAGAATCCTGAGAGGATCCGGTACCTGCGGCGTGAACACCCAGGTCACTACTGCAGTTCTACAAAAACCACAATAATTGAAACACACACCTTAGATATACGTAGACTGATTTACAGAAATAACTGAAGAAGTAGAACGTGCTGTGTTATTGTTGAAAGAACATTTATGCTAGTCCATTTTTATAAAAAATATACCTGAAAATTTACGTGAAAACCAATCAGTTTTATATGTTTTGTTGTTGTTGTTTTTTTAATTTATATTTTTGTGAAGTAAAAGGTTTGTATAAATATGACCTAGGTAAATATCAAAAAATCGCATGTAAAAATCTTTAAATCTGTCACCATTAACAGTGCATAGTGCGAACTGCATAGATCAAACTGTTGCAAATTCAAAAAGAAAAAAAAGAAGAATATCTTAATCTGATATTCTTTTCCTATGTTACATAGTTTTACTTTTTACTCAGACTAGATGAATTTAGGGTGAATGTGGATATAAATGCCTTAATTCTTAATATATGGTAAAAGAATATAGCTTTGATTTGATGCTATTTAATGTTTTATTTAATTTACATGATCTGTATTAAAGTTGGTCTGTGATAATTGAGAAATAATTTTCATAGTAAAATCTGCAAAAAATACAAATTGTTTGTTCACTTGTTTAACAGTATATTGACATTGTGCCCACTGGAACGGGACGGAATTGAACGGGACGGAACGGTTTGTACCCGCATTTTGTTATCTTACCCGCAATTTTAAGTACAGTAAATTTATAGCCGACGATATTATTTATATCGTTTTGTAAAATCATAATTTCAGGGTATGGGCGCCTCAGGGCAGAAATTTCTCAATATAAACTGTATGTGGCCAATGAAAATTCGATTTTTTTTTTTTGTATTAGGCAGTTTATTAATGAATTGAAGCCACAGGTGCTAGTTGCATTGATTTGACCTAAAATGTGTTTGACCTTGTTATTTATACAATAAAATATCAATATATTAAAAAAAAAAAAAAAAAAATTTTTTTTTTTCACTGTTATATTATTATAGACAAGGTATGCAACATTCAGGTACGAAAATTATGGGTACGCCGGTTATCTGTGTTAAAATTTTTCACCGGGCGGTAATATCGTCGGATTTTTGAATGGAATCAATGCACAATATATTTTTCTATTACAATTTACTATTTACAGATCCCCAATTAACCACTAGTTAATGTTTTAAAGCCCGAAAGTAAGAAATCACCCAGGTCCGAAAGATGAGACCGTCATGACATGTACATTGTAAGCTGGTATTTACGCTTGAAAAACATCAACAAAGAGATCAAACGGGTCGAACTCGCATGCAAACAACTGGATTTTACATACTTTTAAATGGTTTTATCCTCCACGAGTGGCACTAAGTTCTATGTGCCCGTATTTTAAGAAAAATTCTACATGTATAAGGTAATTCCTAAATCGGAAGTGTTCTCCGCAACACGTGCTTAGTTCCCCGTTCCGCTCTTTGTCAATGTATGTGAAACGGAAGCCGGAGAATACTTCCGGTGGGAATTACCTTCTAAAAATATCGTCTACATGTAGGATATTTCTTTAAATACAGGCTCATAGGACTAAGTTTGACTCGTGGAGGATAAAACCATTTAAAAGTATGTAAAATCCAGTTGTTTGCATGTGAGTTCGACCCGTTTGATCTCTTTGTTGATGTATTTCAAGCGTAAATACCAGCTTACAATGTACATGTCATGACGGTCTCATCTTTCGGACCTGGGTGATTTCTTACTTTCGGGCTTTAAAACATTAACTAGCGGTTAATTGGGGATCTGTAAATAGTAAATTGTAATAGAAAAATATATTGTGCATTGATTCGAAGCAAAAATCCGACGATATTACCGCCCGGTGAAAAATTTTAAACACAGATAACCGGCGTACCCATAATTTTCGTACCTGAATGTTGCATACCTTGTCTATAATAATATAACAGTGAAATTTTTTTTTTTTTTTTTTTTTTTTTTAATATATTGATATTTTATTGTATAAATAACAAGGTCAAACACATTTTAGGTCAAATCAATGCAACTAGCACCTGTGATTGAAGCAACATAAAATTTACGTGTTATATATTAGCATAATTTTAATTAGGTCTATTACAAACAAATTTAAACAAGACCAGTCGTTGGAAAGAAACAAATGCACACAAAGCTGCGGCAGGACCTAATATATAAATCATGATCTTTATCTGTCTACAAAGGCATGGTTACTATAAAAACAGCATTGCGCAAGGATATAAAATCATTAACAAATACAAAGTCTTACGAATATTCTCTCTCAGCGGGCCCAATTATTTCAACACAGTCATCAATGTACTATTTTGATATACAAGTATAACCTTCATCTTTCTAGCTACCGTTCTGTCGTTTGTGCCACAAAAGTATGACTAGTTATTTCAAAGTCTATTCGTGAATCACAAGTGATGTATAAATGTATTTTTGAATGAAACTATAACCCTTTAAAGTATTAGTGTGACATTTATGTTTAAACAACAAACTTGTTCTCACTCGTCACAAATTGTTTTAAAAATTCATTTATTTAATCCAAATTATTATAATATATATATATATCATTGAATGAAAGGATATGCACTGGACATGACTATCAATTCATTATCATATCATGAGTTTGACATTCAAGTGTAAACTTGACTTTTGGGGTGCTGAACTAAGTTGTTTTCACTAATTGTTAACAAGCAGCGTATTTATGCGTATATTTTTACGAAATTCATGAATAACAAGCTATACACAAAAGGAGATCATGACATCTGGCGTACAAGTGTGACCTTGACCTTTGACCTAGATCTTGTGCTCACACATCGTCTGCATGTGCCATACTTTATATAAGTTAAAATAAAATTGTTGAAACGAAACTGTAACGTTACAAACGCTATACAGGCATTCCCGTTGCACCCGATTGAGGTTATCCATGCAGTAAAAGCTGTATAAAAGTAGAATTTATAACTGGAAGAAAATAAAGATGACAACACCTGTATTTTGTTGTTATGCAACATTAGTAATGTCTACTTTATAATAAAATATCCATTTAAAACAATTAAAAGGCTTAAACTTATAGCAGATTTGTCTGATGATGAATGTCTAGTCGGGTAACAAAAATTACTGGAACAGTAACATTGATAACCTTTAAAGCGTTTGACCCCAACGACCCCGTCACCTAGAAACTGCAACTTCCGGTGTATAATTGCAGTAATATCCTTGTAGCCATTGTTAGTGTCGCGTTCATAACAACCGTCAGTAATCGCAGTCAACTTGTTTAAACAACTTCTCCAGTGCATGTTTAACTTTACTGAAAAAGAAATGAAATCCATTTAGGACATTTTAACTTCCTGAATAATTATTCATCAATTCAACTTCACGAATTCATGATTTAAACCTAATGAATTCGTGATATCAACATACAGCGTTTCATTTGAATTTAGTCATGAATTCACGATTTCAGCTTCACGATTTCAACTTCACAATTTCACGCTTTCTACTTAAAATTCATGAATTCACGTTTTGAACTTCACGTTTCCAACTTCGGGAAATCACGAATTCATCTACGTAAAGACAGAATTTCAACTTGCTGAATTTATGATTTTGACTCCACGAATTGTCGTGCACGTGAAATTGTAAAGTAGAACTCGTGACTCCATGAAGTGAATCGTGAACTCGTAAAGTTGAAATCATGCACTTGTGAAATTAAAATAGACTAAGTGAACTCATAAAGTTGAACTCATGAATTCGTGAAGTTGTAATCGTAACTTCATGAAGGTAAATTATCATTCGTAAAAAGTGTAAACAAACATGTGTTCTGTTTTAATGATAGTTCCTCATTTTTACAATATATACCTCCTTTGCCAAAAGTGGCAGCCATTTTTTGTGTCGCCTTGAAAAAGGCGACATATAGGGGTTACCTTTGTCGGCGGTGTCGTTGTCGGCGTCGTCGTCGGCGTCGTTGTCGGCGTCCCCTTAAGCTTGTCCGGAGCATAAGTTAGACATTATAAGTCGGATTGACTTCAAACTTGGTATGCATGCTTCTTATAATGACCCGAAGTGCAATGTTCAAGAACCGGTACTCTGCACTTCTTAATTTTTGAGTTATTGCTCTTTGTTAATTTTCATACTAATGTATAAAAGCTATGGACTTTAAACTTCATAGGATGATAGATCTCATAAAGAAGAAGTGCAATGCAGAAGAACCGGTACTCTGCATTTCTTATTATTTGAGTTATTGCTCTTTGTTAATTTTCATACATTATTTTTCTCCTAAAGTATAAATGCTATGGACAAGAAACTTCATAGGATGATAGATCTCATTAAAAAGAAGTGCAGTGCTCAAGAACTGGTACTCTGCATTTCTTATGTTTTGAGTTATTGTCCTTTGTTAATTTTCATATTTCATTTTTGTCCTGGCCATTTCTCCTAAACTATATTGTTCACAAGGCGTCACATCCGACTCGCGGAGTTCTAGGTTTTCGTAATTATTCTACAATGATTTATTGGCAAAATATGAAACAAAAAATAATATAAATTGTTGATTTGTGTGAATTAAAAACTTCTTTTGTAAGTATGAAGGAAAATATTAGCTCAGCATCAGTATGTAAAAGATTGATTATCAGTTTTCATAAAGGTGATTTTAATCTTATCTGTATATGATATATTGGAAATGATCCTCAAAATGGCAGCCAGGGGAGCTAGGTAATACTTGCATCTTTATAGAGTTCCGCGTTCTTAAGAGATATGTAGATTTTAAAAAGGTGTTTTAAGATGCATAGAATATATATATGCTTTTTTATGGAAGCGTTCTTTTAAATTCTCAGATAAGAGTTCGACTAGGTATTGATATATCTATTTTTAAGGTGTCGAACTAACAGTACTGTAAGACTTTAAAAAAGCTGCATATTTTCGGGTTCCATCTAACAGTACTTTTAGATTTTTAAAAAGCAGTGCTTAAGGGTTTTTTTTTTGGGGGGGGGGGGGAGTGGGTTGTTTGTTGTTTTTTAATATGTGCTATGATGCTTATTCTGTCATTTTTAGCCGAGTATATGTAGTTAACATTTTATAAAAGAATATATGACTTACTGGTTTCTTGAAATGGTTGAAGATAAACGTCAACGTCGCCAAATACGTACGTACATTGCACGTGGCAAATCGATACTGTTACATCATAACGTTGTTTATAGTTTTGCCAGGTGAGACGCTGCTGCTGTTGTTGTTGTTGACGTTGTTGTTGTTGTTGTTGCTGCTGCTGCTCTTTCTGAAGCCGTAGAAAATATTGTTCATATTCGTACCTGCAGATATGTTTTGAATAATTACAATGAAAATGATTGATGTAAAAAATTCACATCAGCATGTATAAAATTTAAAGGTTAACATAAAACAATGCGCTCGGAATATCATTTGTTATAAAAATTTTGACTGGTTATATGGCCCTATATTAACGCTTGTTTATATTTATAATCCGAGCCGCTACGCGATGTGTGTGTGTTTTTTTAAGTTTGTTTATGCTCGGCGCCGGAATAAAACATATGTCCGAGAATATAGCATCCTTGCCGGTCCACTAATGTAGTCTCATCGGGGATGTCTTTTTCATGCTGAATCTTCGGTAGCCTGTTCTTCGTTCAGTGGTGGTAAAGGAGACGAAAATACTGTCAAGGCATCAGCTTCCTGACCAACGAAAACAAAAACGGCCTTCGTTATCGCCAACCCTCCAGAGTTAGTCACGACAGGTCAACCAATCATCTCTGGTACTTAAGGTGACTTGACCTTTGCCTGTCGTGTACCTTCTCCGCGACGTTCACGCCTCTGGAGAGATTTGGAGAAGTCCGCTAGGCGAGTGTGTGTGTTTTTTTTTTTTTTTGCGTTTTTTACCCCCCTGGGCGGTCACCGCTTAAGCGAGGGTTATTTTTTGGGGGCAAACCCCACCCCCTTTTATAACGTTTATTAGCCAAATTTAAGAAAGCCTACCGGTTAACCCCCCAAACCCTTTTTTTCCCAGTAATTATAAAAATAAAATCAAATTAAAAAATTCCCAAAATTTTGGAATATACTCAATGTCATTTTAAAAGGAATGCATGATACATTTGTTTTACAGTACAATATGAAAAATAATGTTGTTATTTTTCGTACCTGTCACGTGGGTTTTCTAGTGCGCATGCGGGGTTATATTTATCTTGCAGCAGAAAGTAGATATAGTGTGCACTGGTGTGAGTCAGTGTTTCGTTCCAGTCAATATGGTCACACTCTATACATGATAGTTCTGCATGAACTGAAAAATAATCAATGTGTTGTAGGTCCCGATTTCTTTTAAATAAATTACAAATAACCTGGTTCTATACTACAACAAGGTTTCCAGGCCCGTCGTGCCTTTTTTTAAAAAAGGATGTTTCCACTTTTCCCTTTTCTCTAACCTGACAAGGATTTGCAGCTGGCCTGGCTCTATACTGACAAGGGTGTGCAGGGTGGCCTGGCTCTATACTGACAAGGGTGTGCAGGTGGTCTGGCTCTATACTGACTAGGGTGTGCAGGGTGGCCTGGCTCTATACTGACAAGGGTGTGCAGGGTGGCCTGGCTCTATACTGACAAGGGTGTGCAGGTGGTCTGGCCCTATAACTGACTAGGGTGTGCAGGTTGGCCTGGCTATATACTGACAAGGATGTGCAGCTGGCCTGGCTCTATATACTGAAAAGAATGTGCATTGTGGTCTGACTATATTGACGAGGATGTGCAGCTGGCCTGGCTCTATACTGACAAGGATGTACAGCTGGCCTGGCTCTATACTGACAAGGATGTTCAGGCTTGTCGTGCTTTATACTAATAAGGATGTGCAGCTTGCCTTGCTCTATACTGACAAGGGTGTGCAGGGTGGCCTGGCTCTATACTGACAAGGATGTGCAGCTGGCCTGGCTCTATACTGACAAAGATGTACAGCTGGCCTGGCTCTATACTGACAAGGGTGTGCAGGGTGGCCTTGCTCTTTACTGACAATGGTGTGCAGGGTGGTCTGGCTCTATACTGACAAGGATGTGCAACTGACATTGCTCTTTACTGACAATTGTGTGCAGGGTGGCATGACTCTATACTGACAAGGGTGTGCAGCTGGCCTGGCTCTTTACTGACAATGGTGTGCAGGGTGGCATGGCTCTATACTGACAAGGATGTGCAGCTGGCATGGCTCTTTACTGACAATGGTGTGCAGGGTGACCTGGCTCTATACTGACAAGGGTGTGCAGCTGGCCTGGCTCTTTACTGACATTTGTGTGCAGGGTGGCCTGGCTCTATACTGAAAAGGATGTGCAGCTGGCATGGCTCTATACTGACAGAGATGTACAGGTGGCCTGGCTCTATACTGACAAAGATGTACAGGTGGCCTGGCTCTATACTAACAAGGGTGTGCCGGCTGGTCTGGCTCTATACTAATAAGGATGTGCAGCTGACATGGCTCTATACTGACAAAGATGTACAGGTTGCCTGGCTCTATACTGACAAAGGTGTGCAGGTGGCCTTGCTCTATACTTACAAGGTTGTGCAGCTGGCCTGGCTCTTTACTGACAATAGTGTGCAGGGTTGCCTGACTCTATACTGACAAGGATGTTCAGGCTGGTCTGGCTCTATACTAATAAGGATGTGCAGCTGGCCTGGCTCTTTACTGACAATGGTGTGCATGGTGGCCTGGCTCTATACTGACAAGGATGTTCAGGCTGGTCTGGCTCAGCTGGTCTGGCTCAATACTGACAAGGGTATGCAGGCTGGCCTGGCTCTATACTGACAAGGATGTGCACGGTGACCTGACTCTTTACTGACAAGGATGTTTAGGCTTGCCTGGCTCTATTCTGACAAAGGCTAATTAATTTTGGTTCCAGCAGTTCATAAGAAACTTTTATGAGGATTTTAAAAAATTATATACTTATTACTAGACTTTTTTTAAAATGGTTTCAGTTTAACCTATTGCAATTAAATTTAAAGCTGTATCAAAAAATGCGGAATATGCCTCTCTAGAAAGTCTGGGTAGTAGAATATGTGGATTCACCAATTTTAATCTTGAAAAATTATATACATGTAGAATAAAAAAATAACAAATGAAAAAGGATAAACATTCCAGCTGCTGTATGGTATAAATAGTGACAACTTTACCATTATAGAAAATTGTAAACATTTTAAGAAATCTGCATTCATAAAAGCATTGAAAAAGAAACTATACGGCAATAATATAAAAATATGTTTTTACCTTGAATAATTTCTAGAATCCCGAGAATAGCAGACGACAAGATAAACATAATCATGATATATGTCTGTAAATGTATAGAATAGTGACTCAAAACATCATGATATAAATAATGCATGTACTTGCATAATATAATAAATATCTTACATAGGTTGGTCGATATTATATATACAAGAATAGAAACATCTGCTTTATATTTCCATTTAAATAAACTGCAGTTAACTCATACAACATTCAGAACACCTCGCCGCTTTCCAATAATCATCTCGGCATCGAATTTATAAAAAAAAAAAAAGCTCTTCCGACATAAATAACCATTTAAAAGGGCATTTTGTGATTTATGAATAACCGTTATCTTTGCTCAACAGACAATTAGTATTCAGTTATCATTGTAAAGTAGAACAATAGAAGGAATGTATGTTGTAAAAATCATTGGTAGGGTGACACTAAATCATTTTTATTTAGTGACAAAACGTTCCTGCATATACATGTTGTACTATTTTCTTCAATTATAATTCATCTGTTCTTATAGGGTCAAATTTTCATAGTTAATTCACTTTCCTTAGATTAAATTGGTACATTTCTTTCTTACATTGATGAACTATATGAAACACATGACTGTAGAAGTGTATGTGTATAAATGCGTACTTAGATATTAATGTCAATGCTACCCCCTTGTAGCTGAGAGGTTGCCTGGCCTCAAATGGTTGGTGCATCATAGAACAGAACAGAACAGAACATTTCTTTTATTTCATAGACACAGATTACAAAACATACATTTTGTAATAACATGTGAACAAATAAACAATTAGTTTACAACATAATATATATGTTACAGCATTTTTAACTATAACTATACTGGATGGTGAGATATGGGGATGGTGATCATATCTTTATTCTATCATTATTAAAGAAATTTCAGAGCATAGGAACAAACATCAAATTTCATTAAGTATTTACAAATAATTATGTTATCAAATGTTCAGTGATTCAGTATGCAATTGTTTAATTTCATGTTTGAAGCGAGAGAAAAAGAAATTTACAGTATTCATTCTTTGTTTATAATTATATATGTACATGCATAATCATGTGACATTTACTTGTTCTTAACAAAAAAGTCAAGTTACACACAGAAAAAAGAAAATAGAATCCAAACTCATACATAATAAATAGTAAACAACATAAATTACAAGTACCATGTTGCCACCCCTATTATTTGAACATAATTAAAACCACCGTTCATCCCTGCGTGATTATTGTAAGAGGTTACTTAATGGGTTCGAATGACTGAAGTCTATGCATTTCTTAGCCCAAGCAGGTTAGGTGATATTGACCCGTTTGTAACACCCGGGGTTAGCCAAAGCCATCTTTCATGTTTCGGTGCCTGACCTAAATTGTGTTGGTGAGTCGTAAAACCATACATAACATAACCAATGCCAAAGTTATGTTCTCCTTCATAGTGTAATATTTTTTAGTTGAACAGGAATTTAGTAAAATGCGTACCTAATGTTGTCTGGATAATAAACAGCACAATAATAAGTATATGATTATTTCTCTACGTATACAACAGTTTTAGGACAACTACCAATAGAACAATGTCTCTAAGGATTTAGTACGAGAGTCATCATGGACTAGTGACGTTAGGACGGAATATTAGGACGAACGTTATAAAAAGAGAGTTCAAGAATGAATGACATAAAAGGGTTTGAGGACAATTCACTTTAGAACAGAGTTAGAGAACGATAACATTAAAACAGAATTTCAGCAGGAGTGATATTAGAGTTTAAGAATAAAGGGACATAACAAGAGCTGTCGGTAGGACAGCAACGCTCGACTATTCTTAGTGCTTGATAGTAAAAAAAATGCTTGATACAGTTACCTCCTCCTGTTTACAGGTTGGGGTCATGATGTTGAACAAGTGTGCACAGTTTCAAAGCCATATGTCAATGGACTTTGAAAATATTTGAACTATTACAAAAACTTTAACGTAAATTCTATGTCGAAAAAGGGGCATAATTCTGTCAAAATGCTTGATAGAGTTACCTCCTCCTGTTTACAGGTTGGGGTCATGATGTTGAACAAGTGTGCAAAGTTTCAAAGCCATATGTCAATGGACTTTGAAAATATTTGAACTATTACAAAAACTTTAACGTAAATTCTAAGTCGAAAAAGGGGCATAATTCTGTCAAAATGCTTGATAGAGTTAGCTCCTCCTGTCTACAGGTTGGGGTCATGATGGTGAACAAGTGTGCAAAGTTTCAAAGCCGTATGTCAATGGACTTTGAAAATATTTGAACTATTACAAAAACTTTAACAAAAGTGGTTACGCCGACGCCGACGCTCGGGTGACTGCAATAGCTCTACTTATTCTTATCGAATAGACGAGCTAAAAACAGAATTTTAGAATAAGTGCTATAAGAACAGCGTTTAAGAACGAATTACATTAGGACAAAGTTTAAGGACGAGTGCAATGAGAAGGAGTGGCATGTGGAATAATGTGAACCCAATCGTCAAAGGTAACGAATACATCATCAAGGATTTGGGACTCGTGATTGCGAAAATAAGCTAACGGAAAAGGTAGTGGGGGATGACTACGGGTGATGAAAATGCTCTCATAAACTTTATGTTATAAGTTGCTATAATAAAAATGGATGTACGTGTACATAATTTGGAATATTTAACTCTAACATTCTAGTCTGCAACTTTAATTACGGTCACTCATGTTGAAACTTCCAGTTCCGATTTCACACCCGCTACCAATGCCAAATACTCCACGGCACTACATGATAGTAATAACAAGAACATATGTAACTTTAGAGCATGTTTTAATGTATGGACGAAATATATAATTTACATATCATATTGTATACAATAACTAATCATAATTATCAATCTCATTATCACTATGTTATATTACATTAATGACTCGTCATATCAAATTATCAGTATAACCTTTTTGGATTTTTTTACTGCAAAAATTTAAACATAAGTACATTGTACATGTATGTACGTTACTGTTGATTACCATTTTCAATGTATTACATCGCTTACTGTTTTATTTTTAATTTCAAGATATTATTTTACGGTCAATAAAAGATGTTTTGACTGTATTCAATTTTATTACATAAAAATATCTATCTTATGAACCACTTAATTTGATTTTTTCCCCTTGAAAAGGTGCATGAAATAACAAATGTAGCTTCAACTAATTAGTTGTATCAAACCGTCATGTATAAATCTAAAATACACTCGAAACAAACAGTGCTGTTTCACAAATTACAAAATATATACCAATAAAAAACAAAACATATATTGCTGTTTATAGATTAAACATTCAAATTGATGAGAAACTTTTATAATAAAAAATAACAAAAAAAAGATACAAAAATGATACAATAAAAATACAACAAATTGACGTGGAAATAACATAATTAGATATGTATAGCAATGTAAAAATTTGCATGAAATAAAAATTTGTCACTTTTTTTTCAGACACTTTACAAATGTCATCATATAAATCATGCAAATTTAGAATAAAGATAGAACTATTTACAAAAAGCACATTGCATATTGTGTACGGCGACATTACACATAAATCTTAATTTTGTAATCAAATGTTCAAGGTCATGTACATAGAATCATTTTTCGTAAGAAGGTAAGGTTTATGTTTATTAGAATATTAGCTGATGCTTCACAACATGTTGTTGTTGTTGTTTTGTTGTTTATTTTTTAATTTATAAGTCAATGGTGTCAGTGGTGTCAGAATATACATTGACGAATAGTTTGCACAAATGACATCTATCCTGCATCCAATAGTACGGGTTATACACGGTGGGAGAATGAGAAAATAATTTATCATATTGTTTATTTATTTAAATGATCCTAAAACAGAAAACATTCAGTAATGATGTAAAATGTTCCTTAATTTCTCAGAACTAGCTGTACCCTTCAATTAAACCTTCAATTAACTTCTTTAATACAAACTTTATAATGACTCATACCTTAAAAAATGAAATAAGATCTAAAAAGGAAATCAAAACAAACTAAATATACTAAAGTCCTGTCCGATTTATTTGCATGTGTTTGTTCTGAAGTCAGGCATCATGACAAAATTTACATAAATGTAAGTTTTAAGAAAATCTTTTTAGTAGAGCAAGATCTTTTATCGGAAAAAAAATGAGTTTGTAACCGCGAAGTCATTCCCGGAAGTAGTTATTTTTTGTCTAGCGGGAAATAAGTAATCAAATGAAGGCAAAAAATTGAAAACGTTGATATTCTTACCGTTGTAAATAACGTTTCGGTTACTTATATTGTTTAAAGGATTCACTCCACCTCAGATAACCGTTCTACCGGACGATATAGACGAAAAGTTGGCGCCAAGCAAAACACCCTACCAATTATCCGTTATGGCCGTTAATAGCATACTGAATTCCGGCAATCTTTCAAATACATGTACATACAAGTTCACTCAAATATACTTTGAACTCGAATATCAACAAATATTAGCAGATAATTAGTACAACAGGTTTTTAGTAAAACAAATATGCAATACAGGATATTTAAGATAAAAACAATAAAAAGATTCTTAATAAAAAAAAATTCAAATTCATGATATGCGTGTAATTGGGCCCTTTATAAAGGCATAAAATAAAGATAATTAAAGGCGTATAAAGCATAAAAATGAAAATAGACTAGCTAAAAGAATGCACAATATATAACAAAAATATATAAACCTAGATATGCCAAAACAATTCAGTTATATTAAAATGATATAATAATTGAGCCGCGCCATGACAATACCAACATAGTGCGTTTGCGACAAGCATGGATCCTGATTTGCGCAGGCTGGTCTGGATCCATGCTGGTCGCAAAACGCCACAATGTTGGTTTTGGCGCGCGGCTCAATTACGTTCAGTTGGTGTTCAAGTACATCATTTAACTTACATTCAAGTGTCACCAAGTTTAACTTTTTTTCAATCTTTTTTAAAAAAAGCATTTATAAAGCTTATTATTTTTAGATTCTGCTGAACAATGGCTGATGGAGCATTTCAGAATATTTTGTGACAAAGATGCTCAAAGCAGACGACGCTCAAAAACAGAAAGACGCTAAGAGCAGACGACGCTCAAAGCAGACGACGCTTAAAGCAGACGACGCTCAAACTAAACGGCGCTTAAAGCAGGACCGACGCTTAAAGCACCAGCGGACGCTTTAAAGCAGACGACGTTCAAAGCAGATGACGCTTTAATCCAGGCGACGCTCAGAGCAAACGACGCTCAAAGCAGACGACGCTAAGAGCTGACGATGCTCAGAGCAGACAACGCTCAACGCAGCCCTACAATAGTACTTTGGCTTTTTTTCTCACTATGATATAAAAAAGTGCTCTTCATTTATAAAAATATGTTAACTGATTTAAAAAAATCAATGAGATCAGAGACATTAAAAACTTAAATATTGGCCAAGATTGTTAAAATTATATCATATCTTTTTTTCAACTTAAAATGTTTAAAAATGGGGATCATTAAAACATAAAAAAAAACATATCAATATCATATGTTACTTAGAAGCAGTTTTTCTGTTAGACATAAAATTCATTTTAGTACAATCAAACGTATAAAAAGTACACATTTTCTAATATACTGTATTGATAAGACAAAAGTAAGACAAAAGTAAGACAAAAAATTCATTTTTGCTACATCAGTACTTGTATACAAATATCAAATGTGATAATAAGTACACATTTTCTAAAATGATAAAAACAAAATTCTACATCTTAAAACATGACAAAGAGTTCACATATTCATATACACATTCAAATTGTCATGTACTATTTGTGTGTGTTTTTTGCTTTGGTTTTTTTTTTTTTATGGATCTTTATGTGGATTTAAAATTCCAAATTTACATACTTGTTAAAACAGATTAAAACAAAATGCTCATTCCTCATTATTTTGTGTAATTTTAAGCTTTCAATGCTTGGCAATCAGCGTATTCAAAAAAACAATTTTGAGTGTATTCATTCTTCATTCATATAAATCAGACTATAAATAACTAACACTTGTGTACTCAGTTAATTCACATGGCACAATGATAAATGCTGATAATGCACTATGTACTAAGTACAAACACAATAACACTCTGTACAAAAACATTACATACTTATTGTACAAATACGGTAAAATACGTTTTGTACATTACACGATAAGATATATTTTGTACATATAATCTATTGTACATATACAATAAGATACATAGTGTACATATAATATATTGTACATATACGATAAGATACCTATTGTGCATATATGATAAAATACTTTTGTTCTGATAAACATGATAATAATAACAACTGTATAATATCGTTTTAATACAGTCAAAGTATAATAGATTGTAAAGCTGAAGTAAAAACACATTAAAATGTCTTTAAAAAAATGAAATATAACGTTAAATATGCTACAATTGCACCTGCGACAATTTACTTATTCTACGGGAAAAGGAAAAGCCGGGAATTTACGAGGGATTCATTTTCATGGGGGCAATGAATGCAGCAAATTTTGCAAACGGGAAATTTTTAGGGGAAACTTATTTGTTCGAAAAGGAATACCGAAAAAACAACTTGCAACCAATGGACTTTTTTTTACAAAAGGAAAAACCGGGAATTGGGTCTGCCACAATTTACTAAATTTTTCAAAAAGAATACCAAATTTCACCTGCAAAAAAAAAAAAAAACCTAATAGCATTTTTAAAAAAAACAAAAATTCAAAAATGTTTTACATAAATTTTATTGTTCTGGAAGGGTATATAACCTTGCATTATGAAAGTAAATACATGTACTCGGTTGTTTTTTTTTTTTGTTTTTTTGGTAAGGGCAATTACAATATTATTTCATATGTCGAGTATCATAGTGGCGTGTATTCCGTCACAAATAGTAAAAAAACATCGAAATAATACGACGTGTTTTATATAATTATACAATTAAGAAATAAATTCACATATTCCGATTATAAAACGGAATTTTACGATGATAGGCGATCATGTCTACTTTTACTTACATTTTAAAACAACAAACATACATACATACACACATACAATCTAGTCTACCTTTAAAGGCAATAAGCCTATTCATATTTAGTCATTAAAGATTGGGAAATTGGAACGTAGATCAGTCAAAGTGGAATTCATTTAAATAAAATAAAGGTAAGAACTGCCAAAACGAGACTGGAAGCTGAGGCAACCAAACTGGGACTGGAGCTGATATTTGGATAACACAAATCACTGTTACAGTAACACTGATCGCCAATAAATCGTTGAACAGAAGCGCTTCCCAAAAACTGTAGCCTGTCCTGAAAGAAGTGTTTAACCTCAAAGTACCCGTAATTCGTGTCTCTGCGGTAACATCCATTGTCGACAACGTCACGTGGATTGATACAATTCCTAACATGCATTTCAAGGGTCACTGAAAAAATATACACAAATGAACAATAACACAAGTATTGAATTAATTGATTTATGCTAGAAGATCTTTTAAATATCGACGTACTTGACCTAAAACATTTCAGCCTAGCCCTAAAGAAAATAGTTTTCATCACTAGACCAGGTTCATGCGAGTAAAAAAAAATCGCGAAAATGAAAAGCATGCTTCTTTCTTCAAAGGGAAATAACACAAATCAAAAAGATTTTCGTATGAACTCGTGAGTTAAGTAGATTGTTTCTCCTAATATTTAGCTTTTAAAGTAAAAAAAAAATATTATTATAAAGAGAATTATAACAGAACAGAAACTAAAACCTGGGTTATAAAATGAAATATTCTTTGTGTAGATAACAGTCCTAGAATAAAAGTAAAACTCTTATCATATTGGCGACAACATATTAAACATATGCGACCAATGCAGACAATAACTCGACCAGTGCAGACAATATTTTCACCAGTGCAGACATAAGTCGTATGCAGCCAGTGCATACATAAGTCGTATGCGACCAACATAAGTCGTATGCGACCAGTGCAGACATTAGTCGTATGCGACCAGTGCAAACATAAGTCAGTCGTATGCGACCAGTTCAGACAATAAGTCAACCATGACTGCACAGGCGTATGTATTTTGGAATCTTCCAAAAATATGATAATATTTCTGTCCAGATTGAAAGATGGACAAGTCCATTTCAAACTAGACCTAACACTGAAGGTGATTAATGCCCCCACCAGCAACTTTGACTTTTTGAAAAATAAGTAGTCTGAAGAAAAATTTGAACACAAACTATCAACTGTGTACAAAGAAATATTTCAATTAATTGTTATCCCAACTGGGGTCTCGAAATAAGCTTGCTTTTCACAAAGTTTGATTACAATATCTCATTCCTAACTCTATTTATTGTCCTGAAACCATTTTTCTATTTTTAGTAACACTGTAACGGTGACCTTGACCCTCAGGGGTCCAAATGCAATACCAACCCAGGTCTTCATATAAGCTTGCTATACACCAAGTTTGATTACAATATCTCATTCCTAACTCAAGTTTTTGTCCGAAAACCATTTTTCTATTTTTAGTATCGGTGACCTTGACCTTGACCCCAAGGAGTCCAAATGCAATACCAACCCAGGTCTTCATATAAGCTTGCTATACACCAAGTTTGATAACAATATCTCATTCCTAACTGTACTTATTGTTCGGAAACCATTTTTCTAATTTTAGTAACGGTGACCTTGACCCCAGGGGGTCCAAATGCAACACCAACCCAGGTCTTCATATAAGCTTGCTATACACCGAGTTTGATAACAATATCTTATTCCTAACTGTAGTTATTGTCTGTAAACCATTTTTCTATTTTTAGTAACAGTGACCTTGACCTTGACCCCAGGGGGTCCAAATGCAATACCAACCCAGGTCTTCATATAAGCTTGCTATACACCAAGTTTGATAACAATATCTCATTCCTAACTCTAGTTATTGTCCGGAAACCATTTTTCTATTTTTAGTAACGGTGACCTTGACCCCAGGGGGTCCAAATACAATACCAACCGGAGTTGCCACATAAGGTTGCTATATACCAAGTTTGATTACAATACCTCATTCCAAACTCTAGTTATCGTCCGGAAACCATGATGTGGACCGACCGACGGACCGACCGACCGACCGACCAACCGACCGACCGACAAGCTGACTCCTATATACCCCCCCCCCCCTAAACTTCGTTTGTCGGGGTATAATAATTATCGTGGTAAAGTTAAAACATAATACTCACTTGTTGCTTTATAACTTGGAAGATAGACTGTCGCTATCCCATACACATAATTACACCGATTTTTTTCATCAAAAACTGGGCAAATTGTCTCCCTTACATCGTATCTATTCTGGTAGAAATTATTGCCAGGTTGATTTGGAAGTGGTTGCTGATTTTGCTGGTTTTGCTGATTCTGATAATTTTGATTATACATATTCCTGAAAAGAAAGGTTATTATTTGCATTGTATGCTTTTTTTTCTAACTCACCGTGTATAATAATAATAATAATAATATTTAAACAAGAGCTGTCGGTAGGACAGCACGCTCGACTATTCTAAGTGCTTGATAGTAAAAGAGCCTTGATAATGTTAAATTTAGAGCTTTGATAGTGTTAAATTTTCTACGTTCACAAAAGGGCTTTTTTTTTAAATAAATTCATGTAATAGGTCTTAGAGAGAGTCTTATTATACAGTATTGGCTTGACTATTCGGAAGGTAATGTCACAAGGGGGTTTTATTGAGTATAATAATACTAATTACCTATGAATACATAAAATTGACAGAAAAGGTAAAAAGGCTTGTTATTAAGATGTTTTATGAAGTAAATCACTGCTTTATTATTATGAATGCATAAAATTGTCCCAAAAAAGGCACAAACCCTTCAGTAATTACAGCTTACAAGCAAAACTTTAGTTGAGAAAGGGGAGAAAATCAGCCTAAATGCAAGATAGAATTATGGATCTTTGTCAGTGACCTACAATTATGACCCTAAATGCATATGTGAAGTTTTAAATAAATATCTTTAATAGTTAAGTTTCAATTGAATATCTTAAGCAATAACTGAGATATTTGACTTTACAAAAAACTTTAACCAACGCAGACGCCGACGCGGACGCTGACGCCGACGCCGGGGCGACTACAATAGCTCTCATATTCTTCGAATAGTCGAGCTAAAAATCTTTATTTATAGAAGGTAACATACAAAGTTGACACAGTAAGAAGTATACTTATTTTCAGTACGGCCTTCTGATTTAACAATAACAAAGAAAATAATTGTAGATTTATAGAAAATTTAAAATCTTTTTGTGGAAACAAACAAGAATGATATTCCAGTTGCAAACAATAGCTTTGCTGGTTTTAGCCTAGATACTGATTTATCAAAATCATGATTGATGCATTTACATTGTATATTAATACCATAGAATTTTATATAATATTAAAAATACCGCCAAAAGGTCCTGGATAGAATTAAGCACCTTTAGGTAGAAAAATAAAAAGAAATCAAAGAAACGGTAGGGGTTGTTGTTGTTTGTTGTTGTTTTTTTTTTCAGATATTTTTAAAAATCCATTAACTTACTGATCACGTGGGTTTAACTGGGCACATGCCGGATTATATTTGCTCTGTAGAAGCTGATATATGTTCTGTACACCTTCAAAGTTGTATGTCCTGTTCCAGTTAATGTGCTCGCACTCTATACACCGCAACCTTATGATACCTGAAACATATAGTTAAAATAGTATCAAATTTATAACTTGGAATATAGTTGATGTAACTTCTCTATTTATAGGTTAATAGTTGGTTGCTGCTCACCATTATGTGATAATGGCCCGAAGGTGTGCATAATGACCGAAGAATGCAATAAAATACGACATTTGGACGTTGCCACTAATCTGGGTTGTCACCCTTTCTAAGAAACGGGCAGTAGTCAATGTAAACAAATATCTGTCATTCAGTTAAAGTTTAACTCTTTACATGTTCTTACAAAGCTTGATAACACAAATTAAAGATGAAAATGTTATTTTATTGTTGTTTATGTTGTTTTTTGTTGAGTTATTTGTGTCTGTGTTTTTAGGGGGGTTATTATTACATGTATTATTATCATTATTATTTCTGAGAATAATATGTCTTAAGTGCAAATTTGTCTCTTGAATTTGGGTGCTTTCAAGAACGCATCGGGTGTTCTCAAGTCAACAATCAACCAGATCTAGATATGCCCCCGGCCCCGGATCTAGATATTTCCAAATGGCTCTAGTTCTCCGTTGGTTTCAAGTTGTCTTTAAATGGGCTCTACTGAGGTTTTTTGACATGATGGGACTGAATATATTTTTTCCAGATAAATGTACCATTTGATGTAGATTTAGACCACTAATCCGTGTGCAAAAGTTCAGATCAATCGCGCTCTTCGTTTTTCCAGAATAATTATTCAAATTGTAAACAAGAACCGGTTGAACCGGGTGATGCTCCCCGAGAAGGTTCTGGACACAGGAAAGTATAAAAAAAATGAACAAAGGGCAAAAACTCCAAAATTAGGCAAAGCGGAGTTATGTTTTTTTGCACTGCACTTCTATTCAATGAGATCTATCTATCTATAAAGTTTCCTGATGATATCAGAATTATGTCCCAGGTAAAAGTCAAAGTGTAAAAATGAACAAAGGGCAATAACTCCAAAATTAGACCAGGCTTTGTTTAGGTTCTTTAAGCATTGCAATTCTATCCAATTATATCTAGCTACCTACAAAGTTTCATGTTGATATCTCTAATAGTTTTAAAGTATTGTCCAGGACAAAGTCAAAAAGTAAAAATAAACAAAGGGCAATTACTTCAAAATAAGGCAAGGCAGAGTTACGGTTCTTGTGCACTGCACTTCCACCCAATGAGACCTATCTATCTACAAAGTTTCATGTTGATATCTCTTATAATTTTAGAGTAATGTCCCAGACAAAGTCAAAGTGTCAAAATGAACAAAGGGCAATAACTCCAAAAGTAGGCAAGGCAGAGTTACCGTTCTTGTGCACTGCACACCTACTCACTGAGATCTATCTACCTACAAAGTTTCATGTTGATACCTCTTATACTTTTAGAGTTATGTCCCGGACAAATTTCAAAGTGTAAAATAAACAAAGGGGGATAATTAACAAATTAGGCAAGGCAGAGTTACGGTTCTTGTGCACTGCACACCTACTCAATGAGATCTATCTACCTACAAAGTTTTATGTTGATACCTCTTATACTTTTAGAGTTATGTCCCGGACAAATGTTCAAAGTGTAAAATAAACAAAGGGGGATAATTCAAAATTAGGCAAGGCAGAGTTATGGTTCTTGTGCACTGCACACCTACTCAATGAGATCTATCTACCTACAAAGTTTCATGTTTGATACCTCTTTGTGTGATTTCAAAGTTATGTCCCGGACAAGAAAAGGGGACGGGACGGACGGACCGGACGGACCGGAAAAGACGGACGGACGGATTGGACGGACGGACGGACAAGGCAGCGACTATATGCTCCCCCGAAATTTTTTCGGGGAGCATAAAAAATGACCCAAATTGAAAAGCGTTTAAACGCTTTTCCCTAAAAACGGGCAAAACCAGGGCAGACAAAAGGGTTTTTAAATTTGGGTTAAAAGTATATTTCTTTAATATTTTGCCTAATATTTTTTTTAAAAGTCCCCCCCTTTCCAAATTTTTTGAAAGTTTTTTCAAATTTTATTTTTTTTAGGTTTTTAACCTCATAAAGCCCTTTTAAGTTTTTAAATTATTTGAGATTTTGTCCTTGATCTACTTTTTAAGGGTAAATAATTCTGCCCAAAATTGGGAAACAAATTTTCTGTAATTCACATTCATTTTAAATTTTTAACCCAAGTCAGGGAAAATTTTAGATTTTTCTTAAAAAAACCCTGAGATGTAAAACATGTAATTTTTTTTGTTTTCATGTTTACATTTTTTATCAAATTTGTCTTTTTTTGGTGTCATTGGAATTTCGGGCCGCTAACATTCTGTTTATTGGATTTGTTTTGTGTGAGATTTATATCTCTGCAGCTGTTTATTAAAATGATGTCGCTTGATAATGTTATTGGCGTCAACGCCGACGCGCGACCCCCTTATGGAATGAAAATCAGATTTTTGTAAAAGGGCAATTCTTCGGGCATTTCGTCGGTCATATATAGCCGATCATTTCCGATTGGTATGAGGGTGTTTGATTATCAAAAATGAAATGTCGCGATATGTTACAATGAATAGCGAACTGGAGAATTTCCCGCAATGCAAATTCAAAATTGAAAATGATCTAATCCGTCAATTAATCGCGCTCTTCGTTTTTTTTTTCTTATTACAGCTGGCTTATTATGTATTGCTATTGCTTTTACATGACTTAAAACATTGTGAAAGTCCGAAAATCTATTTATAGACGTAGTTGTAGTTCGACGAAAACGGTCATTTCGTTCGTATTTTTTGAAAAATTAAATAACAAAACTGGAAATTTTGCGGGATTATTAAAATTTGCAAACTTTATCTAAAAACCAATTTTTCATTTTTTAAAAGTGTTTTAAATTATAGGAAAAATTTTAAGTGGGAACCCCTTTTTATAAATAGTATTTCTATTTTTTAAAAATTTGTCTTTTTTCCCGTGGGTTTTTTTAACGGCCCTGATTGCACTTTTTTGACATTTTCACAGTGTAAAAATAGCCCTTTTTCACAATTTTAAATGTTGTTTTTTTTTTGACGTTGTTGGGGAAAATTTAAACAGGTCAAGTTTTTAAGTTTTCCCTATAAAAACCTATGGTTTTTCTATACCCTTGTTTTGGGGCAATCGTTTTTTGGTTTATTTTTGAGTGGAATTTTTGATTTGCCGAATATTTGTGACATTTTAACAACAGAAACTTTCGGCGAGCTGTTATTGGTTCATTGATGGGAATGTAAACACAGCTGGTGGGTCAGACGAGGTTTTTTTGAAGTAATTCATTAAAAATAGTAGATTGACCTCCTAATAAATCATTTTAACAGACTTTGTTAGTTTTTGACCACTATTTTGTATGTTCCAAAGGAAAATACCACATGAACTTGGAATTCTATAAATAACCAATATATTAATTTGATAATATCCAAAAATACCTCCTCATATAATATAAATAAACTTATTACCATATATTTCGATATTATAGGACCTGTATATTTTGGATATTTTTTTGTTAGATATTGATAGAATTGATGGAAACATTTAATATTCTAATCTCTAGCATGCCTATCAAAGTTCATGATGAACAATGTCTTTCGTCCGCCCATTCATAAATGATTAACAATTTCTGGGAAAAAAAACCAATTAACCCTTTTTGGGAACAGTTTATAAGACGGGTCTTCATCCAATGTCTATAGTTCATTGTCATTTCCAAAAATTTTTGCGGGGGACCCCCCTTTTGATTTTTTTTTCTTGTCAATCAAAGAATAAACTACAATTCATTCCCCAAACAGGGGGCCAAATCTTTAAAATTTCACCGAAGTTGTTATTCACTTTTAAGAGGGCCCTTTCCGCTAAACCATTTTTTGGGAAAATAGAAAGGGGCCGGCCAAAATTGCAAAATTACCTAGATCGGGCCTTTACGACTTTAAATTTACCCCTAACTTTTGTAAATAGTTTTAGAGGGATTTTTACATCGGGGTAGTTTCTTTAAACATAAAAAATTTAATCACGTGGCACCCGACTTTTTTTAAAAATAATATAACCGAAAACGAAATTTTATTTAGTATTTCAAAGGGATCTCCCAAAAACCCAAATTTAGATGTTTTTCAAGCCTAAATCCCAGGGGGCGCCCCCTTTAATTCCCGGTAAATTTCATGAGCAGACGATAAGACAAAAAAAGGGAAACAAAACCAGTTTTCGGGCCTCATTAAAATTATCTGAATCAACTAGAAATGTGTTTTTAAACTATTTTTAACCGAAATTTCTGTTTTTTTTTCGGATTTACCCGGTTTAAAAAATTTTCCCATGGGGAAAAAGTTTTAAACTTTCAATTTTTTTTCTCTTGTTTATAAATTTCCCAAAGACCCCCCTTTGATGAAATTTTTTTTAATTTTAAACACGACCCGAAATTTTTCCATAAATCGAAAAGTGTGTGTTATAAAAAATTTAAAGAATCGAAAAAATTTAAAATAACCAAATGGGTTTTTGATTTTTTCGCTTTTTAAATCATTTTTGTCGTTGGGATGCCCCTTCATTATATCACTCGGGCTTTGGGAGGGGGTCTTAACAAAAACACTTTTTAAATTTTAACGCAAAAAAACCATAATCCAAAAAAAAGCAGAAATTATCCGGAAACCCCCATATTTATTTTAAAATATTCCCGCCCCGTTTGTTCAAAAATTTTAAAAAAGCGTTTTAAAGGGTTTTTTTGAAAAATTTCTTTTATTTTGTTTTTGTGGGAAATTTTAAGCATTGTTGGTGTTAATGTTAAAAATTATCATATTTTTTTATTTTCAAAAAATTTTTTCTTTTTGGGTTTTCCCTGACCCAACGAATTTACGCCCCTTACTTTAAAAATGTATTATATTACAATTTTTTTGGTTGTTATTTTTTTGTTACTTCCCTCTTTTAGTAATAGAGAAATAAAAGTTTAAAATTTATATTTTACTAGTTAAAAAATTTTCAAGCTTTTTACTGTCACCGGTTTGATCATGTCAACCCTTTTTTTTTGCCCTTAAATTTGGGAATTGAAATGTTTTTATAAAATTCAAAATTTAAAATTATAAAATAAATTTTAAACTT